GGAGCAGAGAGGCTGACGTTTCGGGCCTAGACCCTTCATCAGAAAAGGTCCATTCAGTTATCGGACTCTCCCAGTGCCTCAAACCCATGTAAATATTGTCTTGTTCAAATAAGATATGCCTTTGGTTTGTTTGGATGGAATGAAACTCCAATCTTTGTTTGTTTCCTTGATACGCTCCTATACAGAACCAAACTGCGTTGGTGACTATGCATATATATAAAGATAATTTTTATGAATAAAGCATATTTTTGTAATTTAGAAAAAATGGACTGCAATAGTTCAAGAAGGCAGATCACTGCCACCTTCTCAAGGACAATTAGGGATGGACGCCCTACCAATGATACCTAAAACGCTTGAACAAATAATAAAAAAAGTAGTTTTGTGCATTCGTCACAAGAAAGCAACTCTGTCATAGATTCTGAATAGTCACGCTGTCCAATCTCTTGAATGTGGCTGATTTTACAGTGAAATTCAAGGAATGTAAAATTTAAGTAAACATCAAGCTGATTTCCAAGTTTAGTTCAGACCCAAATATTTTACACAGGTAGGAGTAATATATAGTGTAACTGAAATGTTGTTAAATAGCTGTTTTCAATTCAGGGCTTTTATTCAGAAGCAGTCTGCAAACAAACAATGGGACAATTTGTACTAGATTCACAGCATGTATTTGTTCTTTTATTGCTAATTGCTTTGAGTTCAGTCTTAAACTTTCATAAAAGAAAGATTATAACGCCTTGGATCATATTATGGAGTTGGGACACCAGAACAGGAAGACATCATTCAATCCCTTAAGCCTGAATACAAACCGAAATAACTGTGGCCGCTGTAAATCAGGAACAAAAACAGAAGTTGCTGGAAAAGCTCAGCAGGTCTGGCAGTATCTGTGAAGAAAAATCAGAGTTAACGTTTCGGGTCCGGCGACCCCCAGTTCTGAGGAAGGGTCAACAGACTCGAAACGTTAACTCTGATTTTTATTTTCATAGATGCTGCCAGACCTGCTGAGCTTTTCCAGCAACTTCCGTTTTTAATCCCTTGCGCCTGCTCCACTATGCTGTGAGATCATAGTTTTTTTTATATTTTTCTAATCAAGCTTTTCAGGGATGTTATTACACGCCTCTGGAGCAGGTGGGACTTGAGCAGGGTCCAGGATTAGGGATGTTATCACTGTGCTTCAAGATACTTGATCAGTAGGTTAATTCCATGTACCTGCCTTGGCTCCTAATCTTTTTTTTGTCCTCATCAAGCAAAACATCTATGATCTCAGATTTTAAACTATTAACTAAACTGGAATCTACTGCTTTTTGTGAGAGAATGCCACACTCTGTATGAAGCAGTGTTGCTTAACTGCTCTCCTGAATGATATGGCTCTGATTTAAAGGTTCAATCATTTGTTATATCTTCCCAACCAGTGTAAAAGGGCACCTACCCTTTCAAAGTCCCAGGAACCTCAATTAACTCATCCTTTAACCATGTGCGTCATAAACTGTAGCTCATCCTCCTGTCAGAAAATACCATGCATAAAAGTTTTTCTCCATTTAATCTATTATGTACCTGGCATGGGTGTGTTGAAGTTGTTCAAAGTTTATGAAGAAAAGTACTAAATCTTTTTACTGAGTACAAAATCAATCAATAAATAAAAATGCATTCAAATATGTTTTGGTGATTTGCTTGCTATCTCAAACATGGTTCTGTGGATTAGTCAGTCTTTTACATATCAGGGTTTTGATGCTCAGTCAAGATCTGTCAATCATTATGAGCGTAAATTAATTTTGATCAATGATTTTTCTTCTGAATTACCCCCACGGGAGCCATTTATGTTCAACTGTGTGTCTTTCTGTACCAGTATTAGCTGAAACTCAATCGTATATCTGATGGTTTTCCAGTGAAGTATGTTGAAGAACCAACTAGACAACAGGCTATTTTAGATTGTGCACAAAGAAGGGGCTAATTAATAATCTTGTTGTAAAGGAGTCACCAGGGAAGGCTGACCACAGTCTGTTGGAAATTCCTTTTACATTACTTTCAAATTTAATTCAATCTGAAACAGTGTCTCAAACCTAAACAAAATGCACAATGAATGTATGAGGGACAAACCCGATATAGTAGCTTGGGAAACTACATTAGAAGGTGTGATGGTCAACAATCATTTAAATAATGAGTACATAGGTTACAACAATTGTACATTGCACTGAGGCATAAAAATCCAGGAGAAAAGGTGATCCAACATGGTTAACAAAAGAAGTTTAAGATTTATCAAAGGCTTATAAAGTGGCCAAAAAAGTAGTAAGCTGAGGACTGAGAACATTTTAGAATTCCAAAAAGGAGGACCAAGAAACTGATAAATAAAGAGAACATAAAATATGAAAGGAAACTAATGAGAAAGATTTTTTTTTAAATGCACCGTGAAAGCTACTAGAAATGTAAAAAGAAAAATGTTAGGAAAGAAAAATTTGGGCCAACTAAGGCAGAGACAGGATGATGTTTATGGTGAGTCAGGAAACTGCAGAGAAACTACACAACTACTTTGACGCTGTTTTCATACAAAATTCCTCCCAAGAATACTAAAGAACCGAGTGACTAGCGAGAAAGAGGCACTGAAAGAAATTAGCATTAATCGAGAAGTAGTACTGAAGTTAATGGGACTGCAAATTGAACAGTCAGTTGGAACCAATGATCCATATCCTAAAATCACATCGTACATAAGAGGCTTTTCAGTCCATTGCGTCTGTATCACCAAAACTATACTACTACCTTTTCTGAAGAAGGGTCTAGGCCCGAAACATCAGTTTTCCTGCTCCTCTGATGCTGCTTGGCCTGCTGTGTTCATCCAGCTCTACACCTTGTTATCTCAGATTCTCCAGAATCTGCAGTTCCTACGATCTCTCTACTACCTACACTAGTTCCTCTTTCTTGCGCTAGGCCATAGCCTTGAATGTTATGACACTTCATGGGCTCACCCAAGTACTTTTTAATGGTTGTGAGGTTTCCTGCCGCAACCACCCTCCCAGGCAGTGCATTCCAGATTCCTATCTCCCTCTGGGTGAAAAGGTTTTTAATCAAATTCCCACTGAACCTGCAGCCTTTCGCTTTGAAATTATGCCCCCTTGTTACTGGCCCTTCAACTACGCTGCTTTCTATCAATCCTGTACATGGCCCTCATAAGCTCATACATTTCCATTGTGACGCCCCTCAACATTCTCTATTCCTAAGAAAACAATGCAAGCTTATCCAGGCTCTCTTCATAGCTAAATTACTCCATCCCAGGCAACAGCCTGGTAATTCTCCTCTGCATTCCCTCCCAGAGAGCTAAAAGAGGTGGCTGCTGTTATGATCCTAGTTGATTTTACCAGTGAACAAGTCAGATAATGGAATAAATTCTGGCCTGCAGGTTTCTTTTTACTGCTTCTTTTCAGTTCCTATCCTGTGAATTCTAAAGCCTTTATGTTAAATCCTCACACAACTGAGATTTTAGATTCTCTCAGTTTTGAAAAAACAATACAGATTTGTAAACAAACAACCCTGTTCTAG